TTCCTGTCCTACTTAGCAGACTGGAGAGTTCTCGATGCGCTCATGTTATTAAAGCATAATTCACTCTGAAAGCAAAAACATTTTTACAACATATTCAACCTCATTTAACTTTATATTGTGCACGTCGTTTTACTGCTTTTTAATGACAAAGTTAATTATTGCTTAATGTGAACCTCAGTATGAGATTAAAATATATAATGTCTCCTAAGCTGTTTAATTTTGCGCTCATGTTGGCATTCACTAAAAACTCATCTGTGATGCAAATTCTATTCACTTTATCTCTAAACATGACTTTTACAGCATCGTACATAGAGAGAGGTTACAAATTATCTATTTAATTGAATCGTGTTTAGAAAACCTGTGTAAGGTTCTTAAAACAAACTGACCTTGCCACTGGATCTAGAGTTATCTTTCACGGAAACATCGCTTGCTACTTATAGGTCATGTACAATCTGTAGCTAATCTTCTAATTATCGTCATAAATATTTTTGTTTTCCTATATTTATAGTTTGATTAACTATGACTATGATAACATACCCTTTATGTTCCCGGACCTTCTTACTTCATGTTACTTGCGTGTGAGGCCAGTTTGAACAGAGTCGATATTTAGGGCACTTTCTTATCTGTCAGATCAATCGCTCGCGCTTTGGATAATGCTTACGGATGAATAAGACGTCTTATTGTTCAAAGGAATTTAAGATCTTGAAATTGTATTCTGGTTTTCATGACCTAAAATAAAAATCTTGCTGACTACCAAGTTTTGGGTTTATCAGAATATAATCTAGGTGTCAATCCAAAACTGGAGGTAGATTCTCCTTGCTTAGTAACAGGAAATTCATTGTAGCATTATATCACTGCAAATTATTATCAGTATAGTGTCGATAAATCATATTTCTTGGATTATATTACAATGGGAGCGTTTACGAGTGTGTATTGCTTTATCTAATCGTTTTCTGACGATCGATAAATATGTGTAAATTGCTAAACACTTCTAAAACCTGGAAAAATATTTATAACTGTCTCATTTAGTTGATCTTCATTATAAGAACGAAATACACTACAGAGAGAAAGAGAGAGAAAAACGTTTTGAATGCTAGAATTGAAGACAGACTGTGACCAGATTGACGTCATCCTGTCACATATTTTCATTAAAAGCTAAACAGTTAATAACATATGGGCAGATTCATTATATCCCAGAAATGAACTTGGTCATAAAATTATTATAAACACTCTAGCGAATCTGCGACTAACGGGCTCTCGAACATAAAACTTAAGCATCTATTATGTCCTTTCGTATAGCTATGTTCAGATACTTAGTCAGCAAAGCCTCTAGTCAACAGCGTTACTATCAGGCGGGTTCGCATTACATGCCCCTTGGTTCGATGACCCTGGTCTGGCGCTTTTATAGCTCCATAGTCCCTGTGTAGTTCGTCGTACTATCCTTTGTACTATCTCCGCCCCTTTCCGCGTTATTGGACCATTAAAAAAGCACTTAACAATCACATATAATACTAAGATGCGGTCTCATCTCTGCTTTCCGTATCTTTTTATCTGATTTGCAACTTTTTTGGCAATAAAATTTTCATCGCGTCTTTTAAAGTTTGATAGCCGCTTTTTAGCACTTAACTTTCTACAAGTGCTCATGAATTTTTTTTATCTGTGTCGGGATTATAAATTAAAGAATATTAAAATTCCATTGTAGTGTTCACTAATTTCATTCTAACATTTACGTTGACCTAGTGAACAGTACTAGTTGTAACGACTTTTCTAGTTTGTTGTGTGTTAGCTCAGGTCGTTAAGTCTAGTGTTTTGTGTACAGGCTTAAGCTAATACCTTGACAACTTTTATTCTGCCTAGACTATAGAGGAGCAGGGTTTAGTACGACTGGGTATTTTTGCTGGTATTTCTAGAGTGCCTTGCCATGTTTATTACGAAGCCATTACGTCTCTATCGAGTCGTTACATCGACTATACTTTCGTGTTCCTTTTAATGAAATGTATTTTATATTCCATCATAATAGAAATGTTCCGAACTGTTTCTCTTAATGGCGCCTTGTTGCATTTGCAACGTTGTTTTCATCGAAATCTATTTGGCATCGTGAATTTATAGGCGTTGCCTCAATGGAATGCATTTGCGGTTCATCGCAACAATTTGCTATTGTTTAATTATATCTTGCACTCACGTATTTCGGTAGCAATAAAATTTATTTCTTTGTTTTTACAAATGCTTGTTGCTATCCGCTGAACTGGCATCTATCCAACCTTTCCGTTTAACTGAACATGAGAATTTGCATCGGCTTAAGATCTTAATTACCTACTCTTATGTAGCACGATCTTGTTTTAACAGTCATTTTTGTCTGATCATCTACCTTTTATGGCGGATTAGTATTTTGTGTCCAAATTGGTAATTTCATTTCCAACTACTATACCACGTCCTTGTTAATTGTTCAGTAAGCACTTCACGTATTTAATTATCTTATCTGACGTAAGCATACGTGAGCTATAGAGCTGCTATAGAGTGGATTATGTATTACAACATTTCTTTTTACGACAAAGCAATCAGCCATTGCTCTTTTATCTGTCTGTATTTCGCGTGACTCCCTTCCTTTCGGGTCTTACGTTAATAGCTCACGCCATATCCGTTTCCAGTAACACGTTTTCAGCCGAAATAGTTTTCAATTTCTTGGGGTCCACTCCATATATATTGGAATTTGAGATGTTTCGTTGACTTTCTGAGACAATTTTCTCATTTGTCAAAGGAGCAATGATAAATTATTTTTAAGTATACCTAATAACATTTTTGTGAAGGACGTTCAAATATTAGTTTACGATTTTAGTTTCAATATTTTACGGCATACTTACTTATCACAATTCTATCGGTGGACTTCTAAACAATTGTTATCCATTTTATCTCTAACAATAGTTTAGTATTAAATCGATGTTTACTCACAAGTATGTACTCAGAGATAAAGATAAATATCTTGTTAACCATAAAACATATATAAAAAACCTGAAAACCAATATGATTATAGTCATCTACAACTATTTATTTTGGCTTCCATCTGCCAAATATTGTAGCTGAGCATACTGATCTCGTAAATTCAACAATTTTTGAAAGCCCACAAGACTATTTTTGTACCAAAAATGTTTTCCGTTTTTTTATTTCTGGATTACATTACGTAAATACCCAAAGTACCATCCGTAGCATAAATAAATTTGAGGCAGACGAAGAGATAGAGGTTTGCATACATAACAATGCCTGAACACCTACCATTTTCATAAAACAATTTAGCGAAATTAGAGGACGATGGCGAGGTTGAAAAAATTACTTCATATTTGAAATTTTCTGCAAGCAAGCTACGAATCAGCGAATTATACGATCAACCGTATTTTCCAGGCTTTCTACATTTCTTTTTACTTTTAAATGGAAATGAGTATTATTAGTTTTATTCCATTTCATACCATAATCAGTCTGGAATTTCGAATATATTTTTTTATCTGACACATATTTTACGTTTCCTGTAATTATTAGTAATAAATTTTGTACTTTACCGCGCTACGGGATACTAAATGAACTATTAATCAGAGCCCTTTATACTCTCATCCATGAAAAATTGTTCCGACTTAATATCACACAGAGAATTAACTGGACCCAAAAGGATTGCTTTTATTAGGATCCTTGCGCCCTCTGCCGACAAAATTAATCCTTATTTGTTACACTGTACTAGACCAAAAGTAGAATATTTTACGTTGATCGAATACATATTTCTGTTCTTTATATTGATATTGTACATGAGAACTGGTGATGACGTAAATCGAAGGTATACTCGACTGGAGGTTTCGTGACTTGACGAAGAACTGAAGCTTGTTATCTACATCGTAAAATAATTTCAAGTGGCATAAAATCGTAATTTTGTCACTTGAATATCGATTTGTAATTGACTCTTCATGTTTATCATGTTTCCAATAGATTATTGTTCTATTTTGGTGTTGAATCAAAGTGCGCTTGAACTGGTGTTGTTTTCTTTCAACGTGAATTATTCATGCTCTTGCCAGAAGTAGTGTTGTCAAAATCTAACGCGTTACTACGTTCTTCTTAGTTATAAATAGTATTTTCTATTAAAATATATATATATGTGGTATATTTATATTAACTACGTATTTACAGTCTTTCTTATTCATCTCCACAATTTCAATTTTATATCTGTAATTGAATTCTAATTTATGACCTGTTATCAATAGCCAATGGTGGCCGTAGCTTGATTTTATTCAATTTAAAACGTAATTGGCACAATCGCGTGTACCTTGCGGCTTATAATGGCGTCTTGGGCATCCTTATTACGACCTGTAACTATATTATTTTCATGCACTATATCATCGTGTATGGAACACTCAGAACCAGCTGTACCAGTTATGAATTATTTATTTCAATTTACCTTTTTTACTGTCTAATCTTTATTTACGACCTTTCTTATACGTAATGTTGTATTAAATATTATCACTATCAGTAGCAGAATGTTTGGGTCTACATACATATCATATTTTCTTACAACTGTTTTGGCACTACGCTACTTAAATATAACATTCGAATGTTATGTTTTGTTATCCAAACACCATTCTTGTGTCGTCTGCTCTTTTCCAGTTTATTTCTTACATTGTTTTTAAGTTGTTATTGGCCGAGCCTATAACTTCTTATTACTTAATTAGTTTTATCAGCTAATCAGTCGTTAGTGATTGTATGTATGATATTTATGTTATTGATATATTGCGCACTGTTTCTATTTAATTATTTATTTAACGCATTTGAAACAGCGTTTCAAACTGTCCAACCTTCGTAAACTGAAATCAATACCAATAGAGACAAAAGGTTTACCATGCTTCATAATGAAAGCCGAATCAATAGCAAAATTGACAGGAGGAAATAGATTCCTACAAACACGACACATCAAAGGAAGTTAGATCAAAGCATGTTTGTATGTAACATGAGTATGTTTGTTGCAGTGTTTTCGAAGGGGCAATGCGAGACTGGGCGCTATCGCTTCCTCGCCAAAACTGGTGGGTTTGCCTGGGTCCAAACCCAGGCTACCGTCATCACCGACAAGCAACAGAAGCCCATCAGCGTCGTCTGCGTGAACTACGTCATCAGGTAGGTTTAGCTATAAGATAACTTCTTTATCATTGTCTATATGTATTTCTCCTGTATCAGTGTCCTTTTCAGGAATATTAACAACAATTATGTTTATTTTAATAAATACGTTGAACATATTAAGGTAAGTAAAGTTTTTTCTATTATGTATTTCATAAGTTTCATTATATTCTCTGTTATTAAGGTCAGGCTGGTCTATCGTCATACGTTTTACAACATTATGGTTTGTACATACAGGATTGCCAGTGTAATGTTCGTAAGTGACCATATCTTTTGCGTAAAAGCCTTATCGCGTCGGCTCAACCTCGTTTAGAGCACTTTCGTTAATTTAATAACTATCTATTTGCGAATTAACTAAGTTAATTTGAGTCTGGACTATAAAAGTAGAGACGGCATAAAACTGACGGTAAAGTTTCCTAGAAAAGTCGTTAAATTTCATATAACGTTAGTATTTTCTGTTACCTTGAGTGAAAACATTATTATGCTAAATATTTGAATAAGTACCAGAACCGTTATGTTTGAGTATTATTGCATAATTTGTTCCGCGAAGAATATCGGAAACGCTATTTTCGTAATTTTGCATAGAATTTCACAAACTATTTTTAGCAAAGAGTAATAAATTACAACAACTAAAAGATCTTACTATGCAAATAAAAAACTTAAAACTGTTCCTTTACCACTATTTGTCGGAATCTCCAGTAAACACATCTCCTTGAAACCTTATTCGTCTGTGTCGAAGCTTACATAGAATTTACTCAATAAAACCTTCTACAGCAGGAATCATACATAGGTATATTGTGGATCCTACATTTATCACAAGTTGTAAAGTAGTTCGTTCAATATTAGATACTTTCACGCTCCATATTGGCTTATCTACATTTAATTCAGGGCTTATTGGGTTTTCGTAACAAATGCTGTTACTTATAAATCTTTTTTGGGTCTCGCATTTGCGATTATGTGTGTCGTTTAGGTCTTTATACATGTTTCAATCTTGATCTTATTGTGTAGTGTAATGGACATTGCTATTGTTATATTCTTAGACAATATCATTTGGTTCATTATTATGGTTATCTGTATCTGCGGTGCAAACTTTCTAATCTGCGTCGATAATGAAACAGCGTTCTGATAAAAAAAAACAACTAAGCTGTAGTTTGCCTTTATAACAATTTGGCAATCATATCGAATAGAATACTGGCTGATAACCTAGTTTCAATTCTTGTTAATGTTTTGAACATGTTCATTGTAAGTACGTTTGAACAACACCTGGCGTATTAACTGTGTGTCAGGGACAGCCATTTTGGCGTTTAGATCTCATCATACTCACACGACACTTGGCACGTCCCTAACTGCATGTGTATCAGCAACGTTGTACCAACATCTGTTTTCTTCTAATATACGGAAAGTAATTTCCTTCTTTTGTTTACTGTTTATTTAACGTTTTATTTTCATAATTTGCTTTACATTGATTATTTAATTATATTCTATCATAAGTATCTTCAACTGGTAAAGATTCTTCTAAGTTATTCAAGTTTTAATCGTTAGGTGTGATTTTATTATGCCTTGTTTCTTGGCTTGTGTAATCAAATAATTACAATTTTGTCGTTCATTGTTTAATATAAATTCGATTTCTCCTAACCTTAAGATTAGGTTTATAATTTCTTTTCTAGAAACAACCCCAACCTAATTTTAATCTATTTTCATATGTGATTAACGGATATTTACTATAAAATCTATTACTTCAATGTTTATTACGCTTTTATAAATTCTATCAACGAGAAATGTTCTCTAATTTCTCATTCTATTTTCGTCACATCTTTAATCTCGTAAAAAGTATTTGAACGAAGTGCAATTGTCCGTGAAAAAGAATTTTCCGATAGCTACTCTCCAGCAAATGACTGATATTTGATACGGAGAACTTTTTATTTAAATCAATTTGGATCGGCATATATTTCATCGAATTCTGTTAAAATCTGAGTCTAGAATTCAATTACAGTTATTGAGTGTTTCTTCAAAACGTCTGTGTGTAACGTCTAGCACATTTTATTTCAGTTTTACGATGTTGTTTCTTTTATACAACTTTGACACTTCAACACAAAAATTCCATAATTTTAAAACAAAAATGTTTTTGTCAAACCTTCTCAACAGCCATTGTCAATAGCATTTGTTTGTCTCAAATTGTGTTTAGTACTTTTTCTTTATCACAGTCATTCTTATAATTCAATCAGAGTTTTCTGTATTTCACTTCTGCATTGGTTGTAAAATTCATTTTCTCTATAAGTTCAGTGAATCTCATCACGTTTGTAGCGCACGATCCCTCCGCTTGAAAGCTGTTAACATTTTGAGGTCACGCGGACTGTTATGTGTTTTCCGTTTTTTTGCGCTTTACATCGCTTCCACATCAGACCTTTCCGTTTCATTATATTTGCCGGTTCGTCTGGATCGGTTCAATACTGTTTATTGCAATCTATTTTAAACCCGATTTGGCAGATATCTATAAATATTATGTAAGAACCATTTGGATTTGTGGGTGATAAAATTAACATTACTGGTTCTTTAAATGGAAGGTCAAGGAAATCTCCGTACATTCGTAAATCTTTTCTTCGTTGTCCATTCTCTAATGATAAATTATTCACTAGGGAACAATGACACCACGTTCAAGAAACTTACGAACTGGAAACTTTGTAAGACATAATACACTATTCTATTAAAATAAGAAATACCATGAAATACTTATTGGCCTGTTACTAGCCCTTGTAAATAGGGGCACGCCAATTATTGTATTGGTTGTCGAACCCAAATCGACAAAAGTACCATTTTAAAAGAAAATTAAGCTAGGTTTGCTTAAAATTAGTGATTGGTTCAAAATATTCCGCATTACTCAATATGTTCAGAGGTCACAATCACTTATCATTCCACTCTCAAGATGTCAGTATCGTGGTTTACAAACTGTAGGCCGTGAAAAACATTCATTCGTGTTTTGGTTAACACTTGCCTTATCTAAGTCGAACCGTGTGTAATATGTTTATTTATATTCCATTTTATTATTATACTTAATTCTTCTTCATTTTATTCCTACACACTACTTGACATTAAGCAAAAAATCTCACTTAATTACGTTCACGTTGACTTTCATCCAATCACCAGAAAAATATTTGAAACCATCTCCATTTAAAATGTATAAGCCAACGTTAGTCAACACTTGAAAACGTCCATCTTTTCTACGAAAGGAGGTTAAATAAATTAGAAAAGCAAATTACAAATAGTCCACAGAAATAAGTCTAACATTTTCTTAATTGTGATCTTTGTGTGAAAACATTGTAATTTTCTGAACGCTCCTCGTAAAGTGAGAGAAGTTTTCTTAGGAATGCAATTAACAGTCTTAATTAACAATATATCTTTGTAGCTACAAAACTGGTTTGGTTAACACTTTGATTTTATTCATGACTGCTTTTACCTCTAGTTTGGAAATTAGTTTCATCATCATCATTACTTACTTAATAGAACTATAGAAAATCTAAAGTTCAGCTATTGAATCATCAGTAGAAGAACTCAGTGTTTCAGAAAAAATCCCCTTAAAAAGTATGAACTTCTGGTCTTAGTTATTATTTGTCTCTGCAGGCCAACTTAATTCATCTTCTACAAGATGAACTCTATTTATTCTGACCGAGTCACAAAGGTCTCCTTACACAAATAACTCGTGAATGTTTTTACACGAGTGAATTCTTCGTCAGTAGGTAATATTATTTGTTTTGCCTTAATTCCCAATTTAGACTTTGCTCTTCTAACGCCAGCCTTGAAGTTGTCACTATTTGTTTAATCAAATCTATATCCTTATATGATTTTTGCGTAGTCATTCTAATCATTCTCTATTCGTCATTATTTCTTATGCACAAAAGTCCTATTTCAAATAATCATCTTTATAAGCATAATTTCAGTTACGATTTCAAGTTAGGAAGATGATTTTAACGTAATCACTGTTTTTATGACATAAACATGATTTAGCGTCTTGATGAACCTGTACATAATCACTGATGGTAATTTGATGTGTGAAGCGTTTTCCTTGTATATAAGCTTTAAAAAAACGTATTATAATACCTTACAAATATCGCAGCTTTAAACGTTACGAATCTTCTTCGTCTTTCTTTACTTCAAGTAACTTTGGATCAGTACAGTATATCTATCTATCAATCTTTGGTTATGCTCTCCTTGCCATCCATCAATTCTTCCAGTTAAGTTTATGCCTAGAGTTTCAAAGCCACCATGAGTAAGTGCCTTTCCAAATTCGTCATAAAGAGTCGTACTTGACTACACCTCAATACCTACCACTCAATCTGTACCTATTTATAAACTGGGCGTGTGGCGACACACCCATTTTTTTCGCCAATTCATACTCCTTCAGCGACATCAATATCAAAACGATTTGCATCATCTGTGACGTACATCGGGAACACGATAAAAAGCCTATTGTGTCATCGACTTTTGTAGCACAGTCATTCTTTTATTTCACAATAGCAAATCAGATTTATGTAACTTCCTATTTTCATACCATTTTTATAATAGCAAATCAACAGCATTTATCATCACCATGTATATTAGAACTTTGCCAATTGAAACATCAAACACCATGATCACATCAGATTGAGATTTTTTAGTTTTTTCTCCGTCACGCAACAGTACGTTTCATCACGTTTCATTACTCTCCTGAGTTTTCAAAACAAACTTGACCTACGGCTATGATGTGAATCTGCTAGCAAAACATTTTCTATTTCTTGCACTATTATCTCTAAGTACGTATGTATTATATAAGTGTCAATTAATTCGTACTCATTAGTTCTTATTTCTTCAACTTATTAGCCATTAATTTAAATTAGCAGCTTATTATTAGGTATATTAGACAACGTTGATGGAAAATTTATCTTATCATCGTTAGCTACAGATGATAGTGGACTGGCGGTATGAGCATCAACATCAGCTGCATCTGGGGTTATCTCGGGTGTTGG